CTAAAGTAAATATTGAAAATTTACTAAATTAAAATCTAACTAGTATTATAAATCAAAATAATTGTAGGTGATTTTACTAGGTGATATTGATTCTGATGGAATGTTAGAACTAATCGTTGGTTTAACAGACAGAGTGGTACGTTCCTATCGTTGGAGTCAGAGTGCAGCTGCTGGACGACTAGTACCATTACATAAATGGGAATGTGCTAACCAAATTGGATCAATTATATTGATTAAGGACGTTAAAAATAGACCGTGTTTACTTGTTTCTCAACCCGGTGTCAGTGCAATGCGTTTTTATTGTCCTATAGCTTTTCCAGAATTAATGTAATCTTATAAAAATAATTTGTCTTTGTAAATAGTTTTACTAATAATTGATTTTTTTATAGTGAAAAATCAATTGAATATGAAAATGAAAACAACTTACCATTAGAACTTCTTAATCCTTCCATATCCTCAGTAATGATAGGAGATCTCAAAGTAGATGCAAATTGTGAGCAAGAACTATTTGATATAAATGATCATTTATATGGAATTGCTTCTTTAAATGGTTTGGTAATGTTAGCCAAAAAAGAGACAATTTTGTGGTAAAAATTATTTTTTATTAATAGTTAATATTATTATTATGTAATTTAAATTTAATGTTAAGTAAGTTATTTTTAAAAATTAACTGCATTATGTTTAGTTAAAAAATTTAAAAGCTTCTATATTAGTTTTTTGTTACTAAAATACAATAGAATTATATAACTTCTTTTAACTCAATAGTAACTAGTTACAATGATACTATTTTCTATATTTTTAAATATGTAAAACTAAAAGAACATAAAATTATAAAAATTTAAAGCAAGTAACTCTTGCATGTAAACAATTTATTTATTTTATAGAAAAATGTATTTAAAAATTATTGTCACTTATTGTTGAACATATTTTTATTTTTATTTTTTGAGTAAAGTCCCTTGCAATATTATATATACTATATAAAATTTGACTCATTATTTAATAACATTTCTCTGAAAAAATAATTAACATAATTATTCTTATGTTATTTCAATAAATAAATAATAAAGTTAAGTGCCTTAGTATTATTTAAAATAGTATGTTAAGTAATAATTAAGGCTCAGAAGTTATAGGTATTGCATATTGTTCTGTATTCTCTCAATTTATAACAGACCAATTTAGAAATCTGAACTGTACAATGGAGAGTTAATAAATTAAAAATTAAAAATGCATATTTCGTATATTTTGTCAATTTTAAGTAAAAAAGTGTGTGTTTTATTGATTTTATACACATATTGTGCATATTTTATATTCTAAAGGAATTGATTTTTTCTTTCTTAACCTGTTATATATTTCAATTAATATTGTAATTTCAAAAATACTGAAAATATATTTTTAATAATATTTTCAGCTAAATAAGATGTCAAAATGCCAACCAGTTATAAATTATTTTCAGTTATAAACAGTTTTTATGTATATTATTATTTTATTAATTTATTAACAACATTTTTTGATTTTTTTTTTTTTTTTTTGGACTTCAGAATAATTTTTTTGCATATTTAATATCGTTTTTAATGCATATCTTGTAATTTTTTCATGTATATTTTACCTTTTTTAGCTCCTACAACTTTTGAGCCCTAGTAATAATTAACTTATATTACTACTCATAACACTCCATATATTTAATGTGTAATGTGTATCCAATATTTTGGTTTTCTAGGAGTAAAAATATTGATCAAGAATTGATTATTTTAAGTAAATTGTCGATAGCAGACGGTGGCCCTGATTATTTAATAACATGTTCATCAAATGGAGAAACCTTGATTGTGGATCAGAAAAGTCAACATGCAACATTTAAATTTGGAGAATCTGTTTCTGCTTTTTGTTGTGGAATGTATACAGTAAAACCAAATACAAAATCTATGTCTAGTTTTGTGTTTATTACTAATTCTCAGAAGGTATTTAGTTAATTTTATTATTTTATTTTCATAATATTTTGGATTCAAGTCTTGTCGATCAATTAATAATTAGATTTTTTTTAAACTTTCTTTTTTATTATTCAAGATTAAGAATAATTTTTCTTCTAATCTTCTCATCTTTATAATTTTAAATTTAATATTTTATTTTCAAATGTGTAAAAGGTTTTACTTTATTTTCTAGGTTTATGTCTATTATGGCTTGAAATTACCAAATACATGTGTCCAGAGTTTATCAAAATGTATTGAAAATGACAATCAGCTTTCAAAATGTATGGAAAAATATAAAGGACCATTGAAAAAAAAAATTATTAGAGATTGTCTTTATAAATATGATCCTAATAAAATGTAATATAATATATATATTTTAATAATGTATTTTTTTTATTATAAATTATTTACCAAGATGGTTTTTTAAATTCATTATAATATGTATTCAATTTAATTAACCATTTAACAATAATTACTGGACTTTATTTATTTATAATATTTGATCTAAAATAAAATAATTTAATTTTTTGAATAAATAAATATAATAATTATTGAAATTATTAAGTATTAGAATTCTGCCCTATTTTGTTTTAGAAATTGCATCAATGAAATTTGCTTGCAGGCACTATCAGTTATATGGCCTGGCCAAGTAATGCACTAATATAAATCACTGCAGCCTAATTGCTTGCTATAATAATTCATTAATTTATTATGATATATATTGGCCTCCTCACGTTTTCCCATTAAAAATACAAATATTTCAGTAAAATAATGTTTTAGTAATGCCATTATTGTTTTCTTTATTCTATGTAACTATGTTCTATTTAGTAGTAATATTTAATACTAATTGTTGTTAGTCATGTGTCTACAATACACATTGTACTTTGTATTTTGTAGTATTGATGATACTGGGCAATAGATATAAAAATATATTATTAATGAATTGGTTCATTTTTAACCTATTGGCTATTTTAGTTGTCAGAAGAGAAATAATAATGTAGCTTACTTGCATCATATATAATAATTCTCGTACTAGTATAAATTTGTAAAATAGTCAATAAATATAATGTAATGGCCAATAGGATATGTCAACATTATAAATTATAATTCATAATTCATAACTAAAATTTAAGACAGGATATTTTTTTCATTATTTATTATTTATTATTATTAATAAAATAATAACACATGATAATTAAACAATGATGTACTGTCCTTGATTTCTATTCCTAGTTTTAATATTATTTTAAATTTGAGTAGGCTTTGCTTCTTACGTGTCCAATTCAAGGTCTTAAATTATTTTTATGATTAAAATGCGATTAAAAATTAAATCATTAGTACTACTTATTTAATAATTTAAATCAAAAATTAATTTATTATTAACGTTTTGTATTTAAAATATTAATCTTAAAACTATTATTGGCTGGTTGTAGTTGTAAATCTGTTGTTTTTTGTAAAAATGAATTATTTATTTGTTAATGTAAAATATTAATTAATCTAAAAATGATTAGGTATGTACCATGTAGTAAATAAATAAATAAATATAAATATCATTTTTAATCTTCAAAACATGTTTTTATGGATTAATAGTTGATACAATTGACCTTTTTAATCTTGGATATGCAATTATTTATTAAAAACACAATACGCTACTTATACATTTTAAAACCAATAATATGTTCTAATTCTAAATATAAAAGGATGTTTTTTTTGTGGCTATTTTTTTATTCGAATAATCACAATAGTCGCGCTCACAACTCCATCTTTGTATAATGTACCAACGTCTTAAAATCAAATGTGTAATACACTAATGTAATGACTTTTATACTATTATAGTTGTACTGTTATGACTTATGAGTTATATATTATGTGTATCATAGTATGCGCGCACGCCGCATATATAATGAAATAGATAACTTGTCATAAACTCATAACTCATAAGTCATAACTAAAGCGCGGATTTTTATGCACTTAAAAGTATCGAAATATGCCATATAATATGCAGTAAAAATTATGAAAATATACAGTCAAAATTATGAAAATATGCAAGAATTTTTTATTTATTTAAAATTTACAATAAAACTTATAATAATTAATTACTTAAATACTTAATAATAAAAAATTTAGGGAATTTTCTAAACTTAATTTATTTTTAAAATTGTATTTATTATTAAAATGAATAATCATATGCATTTCAAGTTTTTCTTCTGTGAAGCTGTATTGTTTATCGGTTTACATATTTTTAAAGACTGAGAACGAACGTTCGACGTCAACCGAAGTTATTGGGGCATATTTGAAGCAACTTAGTATTATCGGATCTTGATAAAGTTCTTTGAGCTGAACGTTTTCGCCTAATAACACTGAATTAATTTTTCGTAGAATTTTCAGACCTTCATTTTTATTGGAAAGCTCGTTTAATTTTGTTGTAAGTGTTACACCTTTCGATCCAGAAATAGAATGCATTTTTTCTTTCTATTCGTCAATTATTGAAAAGCTTAGATGTAAAGTTATATTTCGAGTTTTCAGTTTTTTTTATGACTATCACTAAAAATGCCAAATGAGTAGATATAAATGTTAAATCATTCTACTTGTCAAAATATTATCTTATACACTTTTTTAAATTTTTTTAAATTTTCGCTTCAATATGCAATAAATTTTGAATTTTGCCAAAATATGCAAAAATATGCAATAACCTTTAAATATGCAGAAATATGCAAAAAAAGATTTCACCATTAGCTTCAAATTATGATGATTCGTGGAGATAACTGACAAAAATCCAAAAATATTAAAAGGAAAAAAATATGCAATTGCATAGAAATCCGCGCTCTAGTCATAACCTATTCATAACCAATAACGGCAATAACCATACAAGGTTTACACTGTTTACAGTCTGTGTTGATAAGTGATAATACATAAACAGCGAAAAGCGATAACAGCCCATGTGCCTCTGCAGTGTTATTTTTTTTTTCCCGCCAATATGGAATGTGATGATGATGAACATAGAATTATATTTTATGTAAACTATTTAAAAACTAATGACTATGCTAAAACGCCTAAACAAAATATGTCTAAGATGGCGGTGATGATTATTGATGAGTGGTGACCAACACAATATGTGTATTTTACATATTATCCGTGTTGCTACCGGTCTATAAAATTCTTTCTTGGTTGTGATAACATTACGAAATTAATTTAATATTCTTTGGAAACAATTTTATAAATGAGGTATTTTTGATAAATCAGCTCTAAATTTAATTTTCTTTGTCTTGCTCCTTTATTGTTAAGCCTGGCCGCCTGGGTATTCACCATTATTATGACTTATGAGATTATTATTTTTAAACCCAAATAATAAATAATTATTACTTTTATTTTTATTCTTTACAGGCCCGCGCCCCATAGAGCACAATCCTCAATTTTCATTCCTCATCATAGTGAATTGTGACCACATTGAACGATTCGGCTTTTGGTTAAAATTTCTTAATTATCTTCTTTCGCTCCATGATATTTTAAAAACGTACATGAAGAGTTATTGAAAACGTAACCCGTATGGTAATGTAACTTATGTCTCGTTCCTGTTCAAGAAGTATGTATTTACCATGATTTTATGATATTATTAGCAATTTTTTTTCTTAATGTCGTGTTTGTGTTTATTAATTTTATTTTTGTTTTGTTAACAACTTACCTCTAATCGATTGTTAAAAACTACAGCAGTTGTGAGTTATATAGTAGGTAATAGATACCTATTTTTCTGCAATCGACCTTTATAGGTACTTCGAAAAAGTCATCTACCAAATCGAAAAGGCGTTTGTCTTATAAGCAACTAAATGATGCCCTGTTAAATACGATTTATTAGTATAATATAATGTATTTGATCATTTCATTTGTATAAATCACATTTATCATGTTTGCTCTAATTCAAATGTTTCTTTTATAATTTACCTATATTTACTGAATTCTGTATAGATTTTTTAGATCTCTATTTAGATATATAATATTTAATATTCTATGTGTTTTTGGAATTAATGTTTTCTGTTGGTTGTCAGTGTTATTATTAATTTTTTGATGTATTCAATATTAATGATTAATTTTACTGTTATAATAATAGGTCTATATAAAAACTCAAAATCCTATTACTGGGTAATGCCAATCTTGTTGTAATAATTGTTATAAAAAGCTGTTTTATATTATAATACTGCTATGTACTTTAAATAGGCCACTCAATTATTATAACTATTTTAAATGTTTTTATTTTATTTTATTATAACTTCTTCTTCATCTGGTCCTTAATACTGGCTAGTTTTCTCTGCCATCACTTAATCCCTCTATTTTTGAACTCCCATTCTGTTAAGATCTTCTTCCACTACATCTAACCATCTATTTCTTAGTCGTACTTGAGGTCTTTTTCCCCACAAGCTTCCACTCCAGGACTACTCTGTTTATATTATCTTTACTACGTAGCCACATGTGACTTAGCCATTGGATTCTTTGTCCCCTAATGAAACTTATCACTAATGCCATTCATTTTATTATAACTAATAAAGAAAATTGTTATAATGTGTAACAACTACTAATTGAGATTATTTCAACATTAATAAATTTGCAATTTTTTTTAGAATAAACCATGGAGAAATTATTAGTACCTCATAAGTATGCTAATAATGACCTTTATATTACTCATGCTGAATTTCAAGGATGTTTCATAAAAATTTGGGCAAACTTTTATTCTCAAAAAAGAACAAATTTAGAAAAAAATATACAAGATTATGAAAATTACTCTAGGGTATGAACACTAAATAGTTAAATTATTTTTATTACATGACAGTAAATTAAAAAAAAAAAAAATTATTTTCTAAAGGAATGTAACAAATTGGACTTATTTGGAAACAAATTATACGTATATACTTGGAAAAATGACTATGAATCCAGAGTTTATAGATGTCGAATTCTACATTCAGATTTAGTAGCCAAAACTCACAATATAATACTCATAGATTATGGCCGAACTATGGTGGCATCATTTTTTGATGTAAGAGAAGTAATCCAGGATGTAGATCCATCTTTTTTAATTGATTTGTGTCAAAGAGCTACTGTATACACATTTTTGCTTAGTACATTCATTAGTAAACCAAAATCAAACAATGAATTAGTTAATATTTTGTGTAATAAATACTACAAGTATAGAAGGGACTTTGAAGTTGGTGGTATCACATTTGTATCATTATTTGATGTTGACAAAATACTAATTGACAAAGGCATAGCAGATAATATAAATTTATCTACAATGATAACCATCGCTAAAAGTATGGAATCAACGATTGAATTAAACAATAAAACTGACATGATAAACAGTTTCCCAATTAAAAGTAACTCTTTAGGCTCTGGTTCTTTTCTACGATCCCAACATTTAGACTATGTTACTTTAATAGACATATCTGTCACAAGAGTTGTTATGGATAACACTTCAGTTTTATTAACAGTCCGGATACTTGTAAGTATACCTATATATAATACTATATCTATCAAATAAAATATTTTGAATGTAACAATATTATTAATGAGTTATGGAAACTTATTTAGCAATAACAAATTTAATCTCAAAGACTCAATTTATTATTTTTATTTTAGGATAATGAATCTGAAGCATTAGCTAATATGTTAAATTCAATTGACAGACAAAATTTAAAACTGGCACCTGTTCTTGAAGTGTATACTCCTTGTTTGATTATTTTGCATAACAAATTGGTTAGAGCTATAATTTTAGAAGTAAAAGTTGATCAATTATATATTGATCTAGTTGATTACGGAATTAAAGAATTAGTTCCCAGGACTATAGTTTTTGAAATACCTCCGAAGTGAGTTAATATGTTAAAATTTTATTAAGTATTTATTTTTATTTCAATATTAATTTATTATATTTGTTTACTATTTTGTTTAGTTGCTATTTAATTGAAATGCGGTCTTTGAATGTATTACTAGACAAACCAAATGATGTTATTTTAAACCAAAACATGTTTATTCAAAAATATTTTCAAATGTTACCTTTGAAAATGGATCCTAATTTTGGTTTATATAAAGTTAAATTGTTCAAAAAAAATAATGAAGAACTTGTAGATGTAGGCAATGTGTCAAAAAATAATTATGAGCAATGTTCAATATCTTTGAAATCTCAAGAAATGTTTTCAATAACTGAAATAAATGTATGTATTTATTCAATTTAAATATTTTTTCTGCCTAAATTAAAATAATTAAAAGGGTTTTGTGATATAATCAACAATAATTAACTGATTAAATAAATACTAAAGTGAAAATAATTTTGAAATTTTTTTCACAAATTCATGAAATTTCATAGTTATCAAATATAATGAATAAGTTTAAATTAATTATTTTTTAATTTTTATTAGCGTAAGTTAGATTAGGTATTTTATACAATTATCTGTTTTCCAACAGTTAAATATTTTAAAAAATAAAAAGAACATTACACCCGTGTATATTTTTTTTAATTTTAATAACTAAAGACAGTGAATTCCATGGTCATAATGTATTTTTAAAATTAGAGTGAAATTACTTGTTATAAAATTTTAAATTAAAATTATTATTTAAGACATTTTAAAGACTTGTTGATGTTTTAATTTTTAAATAAATGTTCATAATATACTTTTTATAATTAAAATCACAATAAACTCTAATAATGCCTTGAATAATAATCTTACCTTAAAATTTTATAATAGATCAAATCACTAACTTTATAAATAACAGTAAAATAAATTATTGTAAATGTAAAATTTAATTTTCCCTGTTAAATGATTATATGATTGTGATAACATATGCATAAATAGCATCCTAGAATCTCGGCGCAATTTTCTCTTTCTAGTTTATGGACAACTTGATTGAAACGCGTAAAAATTGTTTTATGAGTTATGACTTTTATGTAATCTTAAATAAGATTATTTATTACAAATGTTATTGAGTTTTTTACATTTAATTAAATATTGATAAGATTTAAAATAGTGCTAATCAGTATTTTAAAGAAAAACTAAAAAATAAAAAATACAAAAAAGGTATTTAAATAATACTTAATAAGTATGCATGCATATATCCATGTATATATTTTTTACTTAAAAAAAGTTTTTTTTTACTTATGGCTTTTTTTATATTCATAATACTTATTAATAGTAATTAGTATTTTTATTAAAATAAACACTAAAAATTTGAACTTAATGTCTTAAAAAAACTATTTTAGAAAAAAAATAACTTATATCTGATAAATGAAATCCTAGAATATATTTAATTTTAAAAGTAAAGTTTATTTTATTTATATTTCCAGTTTTATGATTTTTTTTTTTTTTGTATATTTATTTTTTAGGATGAGATTAAAAGCATTGAAAACAATGTTGAAATGTGTACAACACCGATAAACCATTTTAAAGTAACTATAACATTATAATATGATTTATTACATAAATCTAATTTAAAGTATTTAACTCAATTTTAAGATTTTTGTATTGATTGTTAGATATATAGTTGTCTTTGAACCTCCTTATATACCTTGTCCATAGGTGCAGGCACCATTATTTAAATCATACCTGGATATTTTGTTATTTTGTGAATAATATTTCAGTTTAATATTATTTTCCAACATATCAACTTTATTTGAATGATTATCTTGTAATTCCAACAATCTATATAGCTATCATTAATCTATTTTGTATTTTATATATTGATTTATATTTATATGACTCATATCTGATATACGATAGGTCTATCATATTTTAAGTTGATATAGTTATATAGCTTAATAATTTCATAAAATAAACCATAGCTTAATACCAACAAAATAAAGTATTGATAGCATAGTATATGTTGTGTAGTCCAGTGCTACTAAAGCACTACTTAGAATTTTCACACGATTTAAAAGTGTAATTTAAATAAAATAAATAATTTATAAAAAACTCAGTTATCATATTACTATTATGTGTTAACTAGCATTTGAAGTAAAAAATAACATTTTCAGTATTGATTTCACTTTAAAAATTATAAACTTAACAAAAAAAATAGGAGTAACTATATTTATTTGTTTTTTTTTTTTTTAACTGGTCAACTATGGTATACTGACTTTACAAAGAAATATAACATGACTTTTTCTTATTTTTAGTGGATTGATTATCTTGATTACTACTTGTGTGGTTTATGTGAGTTTACCATGTGGTAAATCTGTAAGTTAATTAATTGAATTTTTACAATAACACTACTTAATATTTGTGCGTCACTCTGCATGACACTCAATTGATTATAAGTTATGAGGAAACAACAAAAATTTACTTGGCAAATAATTAGAATGTATATAATAAGTGTTCAACAGAAAAAAGAAATGAGAGTTATAAGTTACAATTGAATATTATATCAAACAAAGCTTATTTTTTAGTCTTATATTTCTATAAACATTGATTTCTATAATTATTATTATGCACGAGTACTCTTGTTATTAAGAGATATAATTTTTATTCATATATGCGTGCTCTCCATTTTAATAGACATTCTGTATACTTAAGTATTTTCAATAGCCTGTATTAACATACAAGAACTTTTTTTTAAATTAGAAAAAGATTTACATTCATTACGCCTATAGTGTCCATTGTATTTTTTTAAACTTGGCGCCTATGATTGGTTTTATATAATCAAACTGCATTAGGTCATTTTTATACTATCTGCTAAAAATTTAAATGATTTTATTCCTTTTTGCTAAAAATCATTTAAAAATTGCATATCTTTCTGTATAGGGTAATTGATAAATAGCTAATAAATGTTTTTTGTAGTTTACTGTAATCTTTGTTTAACTAGCAGTTTTATATAAAATCCAGTAAATACAAAAAATTTACAAATGTTAACTTCATTTCTAGTGTATTCAAAATGGAAAACAAAATACAAATCTTGAAGAAATTATAAGTAAAGATTCAAAAATGAAAAAAAATACCGATTCAGAAATAAAAGAAATCAGTAATTTAGAAATGAAAGAAATCGTATATCTAGAAGTAGTAGAAAAAGAACCAGAAATTATAAAACATGTGAGTTGGTTGTTAATTGGAGGTGTGTGATTATAGCAATCAATTAATTTAAAAATTTTAGATAATCGATTAATTGTTTCGATTAACCGATTAACAATTCAAAAAATCGATTGTTTGAAAACATTGACAAATGACAATTGATCTATTAAGCAATATTTTTTTTAAAAAAAAGACAATATTGTAATACCAATAAATTCTTATATTAAGATCTAAAATGCTCATGAGGATCTATGTCCTATATTAATGGTGGTCCGTGGTTAGGTCTCTGCCGGGGTTTTGCCAATTTTTTACACCAGTGAGGGAGGTGTCAAATGCAGCACTGTCAAGTGTTAGTACTCAGTAGTACACACAGATATATATACATATACGTATATATATATATATATATATATCTGTGGTAGTACACAAAAAATTGAAAGTTCTAAAATGATTAGGTGTTTATCATTTCCACTATAACGATTCTATCCGCTGAATTCTTGAATTGATTAATAATTAATAATGTAAATAAATTAAGTCACATATCGATATTTGACTTACATATTGTCGATTAACAGTTAAGATATTCATCACCAATAATCGATTAATCGATTAATATGAAGTATTTTAAAAACAATCGATTATTTAAAAAAAAAAAAAACCGCGTACCCCTATTGTTAATATCATAATATTTATTTTTAACTTGAAAATTGTATCAAGTTTTATATATTCATCAAAAACTGACTTCTCAAATGTTTTAACATTTTAATACAATAATGTAAATCATATTTTTAATATTTGTTTTATGTTTTTATTTTTAGATTTTGCCAACTATGTCCTTAGAGAAAGAAACTTTAAATGACACACAAGAAATTATTGGTTTATTGATTTTTTACAAATCACCATTTAACTTTAGTATAAGACAATATAATCCAAATTTTGAACCTTTTATGAACCATATTAAAACCGTATTAAACTCTCGTTATATTTTAAAAAAATGTGAACTTGTGAAAAACATGTATGTTATTTATCAAATTCAATCAAATTCTATATATCGTGCTAAAATAATTGACATGGATACTGAAATTAAAAGTTAGTAACTTTAATTTGCTTATTGTGTTCAGTATTATTACTTCTAAACTAAAAATAATTATATTTTATTTATAGAGATTAAATTACAATTGATTGATGAAGGCGATAAAATAATCGATGAACATTTTGATAAAATCAAATTGTACAATTTTGTTGAAAATGATTACAGTTTACCCAAACAATTAGTACTAAATTGTTCATTGAGTGACATGTGGTTTCCTGTTATAAATATTGATACAACATTAATATTACAACCACACTTTAAAATAGGTCAACTTTATAAGATTCTAATTGTAAAAACTGACGAGTCTGGTAATAAGGTAGTACAGATGATTCATAAAGATACCAATGTTGATGTTTCTAATGCTATTCTTCAATCTGGAATTGGGCAACGTTTAAATGCTGCTATGAAAACAGGTATTATTTTTAAATAATGTTTTTCACAAATATTTTAATATATAATATATTTTATATTTAATTTTAAACAATAATATCATATTCTTCAGTATTAAAATATCAAATCAATTTTTTAACTATTAATTTATTTTAATAGATGAAAATCCATATGAAGAAAACTTATTAGTAGGTCAAAGTTTTATCTCATATGTTTATAACTATCATTTAAAAATAACCATTCAACCTGAACCAAATACTGTTGATGAACTGGAAGAAGAAATTCTGAAACACATCAATGAAAATCTTGTTAGTTCACTCATTTTGGCTAATAATGATATTAATGGTATTCAAATAGTTCAATCATAATTTATTTAATTTTTAATTTTAATGCATAGGATTCTAAATCAACGGATATTGATTATTCCCAAAGTACATATTGTTTAGCAACTATTGATAATGAACAATGGTATAGAGCTTATATAAAAAGTATAAATGAAGAGTCTATCATAGTAAACATGTTTGATATTGGCTTATTGACTGATGTACCTTTAAATCAGGTTTTTGCTTTTTTTATATCTTATTGAATCTGATGTGTAATGTTTTAATTTATTTATGTCTTAATAATTAAAAGATATTTAAAAGAAAATATTTATAACTGTTTAGATTCGACCAATTACAAGTAATTTAATGAGGAAACCTCAGCTTTGTTTGAATTGTCATTTAGAAACTAAAGACTTAGATGTTAGAATTACTGAAAAAACATTGTATAATGTTACAGTAAAATCTATTGATTCTAATGGAATGTAAGTTGACACATTTTAAATTTCTGTTAAAATATTTTTTGAAAACAGTTAAAAAACATCTTTCTTAAAAACTTCAAACTAAAAGAGAAATACTTCATGTTTTTAATTTTTCAACCAAATTGTTTTTAATTGTTAGTTTTTCAATGATTTTTAACTAATTTATGAAATACTTAATTCAAAATATATTGTTTTTATAATATGTTTTTTGCTGACGTGACATATTTTAGTTTTTAGTCACTATTAAATATATACTTAAATTTAAAAAAAATTGTTATTGATAAAATCTATATCATACAGATGAATAACTAATTAAATAATAATATTTAATTAAAATTAATGTAATATGAGTTGTAATATTATTTTTATTAATATTTTTTTATTTTCTAGGTTGTGTATTAATATTAAAGAACATAAATCCGCTCCACTTTCCACTCCAATTATTCGTGGAATTGAGAAAATATCATTTTTAAATGTTGATGGTGATTTGACTTACTTGCAGAGATCTCAAGATATATCAAAAGTTGAACAAATATCTGAAAAGCTATCAAAATTGAATGGTAAATTAGAAAGTAAAGCTTCCATAGTACCAGGTGACATATACATGTTTGAAAATTATGGTAAATATTATAGATGTGTAGTTAAATCAATTAATTCTATAATGGTAGTTGTACATTGCATTGACTTTGGTTATGAAAAGCAAATAGAAAAGAAAAAATTACAATATTTGGGGCGTACTAAAATAGCACTGTTACCAGCACTTGTTATCACTGTTAAAACATTCCCGATGGCAATTAACATGTGTAAAACAATTTTCCTATCCTATATGCATGTAGATCAAGATGGAACACTTAATACTTTCCCTTACAATATGACATCAATAGAGTCAGAAAATAAATTAATGAAAACTCTTGAAAATGGATGTTTAGTAAAAGTCACATGTGTTTACTCAGACAGTCATTGTTGGATTGTTCCTCATTTATTCAATGATAGGCTAAAGTTTATTTCGAATATTCTTATAAAAATGCAATCAAAAATGATACCGGCTGTGACTGAAATTGGTTCAATGTGTGCTGCCTTACATTCAGTAACAAAAAATTGGCATAGGGCTCTATTATTAGATATTGATGAAAGTACTGAAAACGTTTTGTCGATAGATACAGGTGAACGGTTTAAAGCATTGAAAACCACTAAATTGGTTAGTGAAATTCAAAAAATACCAAATTGTGCCTTACGCTGTCAAGCAATGTCAAATGTAAATATTAATTCACTTTTAAATAAAGATGTAAAATGTATGCTGACGTCTTGTACACAGTCATTACTCGAGGTAAAATTATTTACAAATGACATAAATGAATCTGAAATTACTTCTACTATGTCAGTTATGGAGTGGACTGTTACAATTGATAGGTTTGAGTCATTTAACGAGTTCTATGTCAAAAGAGTTGAATTTGGTTCTAATAATGACATTTTGGATATGCAATTAAATTCTGTTGCTAACAACTTTGAAGATTTTCCACAGCTGCCGCCTATCGGCACACTAGTTGCAGCATTAATTGATAAGAATAATGGTGTATGGTATAAGGCTGAAATGTTGACCCCCGTTAAAACTAATTTAGTTGTTCGGATCATTAATGATGACACTATTTGCAAAGCGATAAAAATAAAAGTTCTACCAAGCATCTTTTGTAATGAAAAATTATATTTTAATTGTTGCTTGGATCAAGAAATTCTGGACATTTTTATTAATGATCCTTTAAATTTTGATGTTATCTCAGAAATGATGATGAAATACAAATGGAGAATGAAAACAACAAGTAATTCTGAACCATATAAAGTGACATTGACTTATAATGGTATAGATTGTATTGATATGTTATATACAATTTTATCTATTGATAACCATGAAATTTCTGAAAATGAGCCACAAACTTCGAAAAATGTAATAAATGATGATTTTACAAACTTAACTTTAGAAAATCCATCAAATAACATTCTGAAGAAAACAAGTAATGAAAATGATTTAATTTTACCTGAAGTAGAAACTGTGGTTATCAAGCATGTTGACACATTTCAATACTTTTATGTGTACTCTGAAAGTTTATCAATGTTATATATGTCACAGATTAATGAGAATTTAGATGTTAGCATAGTTGAATTATCTTTAAATGATATTAAAGTTGGTTCCATTGTTGTTACACATAGTCATCATTTTAACTGTTGGTGTAGAGCCAAAATAGAAAATATTCTACCTAATGGTGACAGTGCTAGTTGTTATCTAATGGACTTTGGTGACTATGAAGAATGTAATGAATTCTATAAGCCATCAGAATTTCTTTGCATGTGTCCTCCATTGGTAAGACGCTGTTCATTGTATGCACCAAAATTAGCTGGTCAAGAAAATGAAATTTGGTTTCCTAATGTTAATGATATGTTCAAAGATATATTATCAATTGAAGGTGTTAAGTTTGATATGGTTATAAAAACCCAGGGAGATCCTTGTGTAGTATCTTTACAGCAAGCAAGTTCTGATGTTAGCGCAATGTTGGATCCTCTTTATGTTCAATTGACACATGTTAATTCTTTTACTGATTTTAAAATTAAAGCAATATCTAGCGATCAAGAATGTATGACTAAAATGTTGGACAGCTATATTAATAAAACAAAAAATTTGGTGCAGGTAGAAAACCCTAAAGTTGGAGAGATATATCTTTCCAAAATTGAATCAAAATATGTACGTGTAAAATTTGAATCATTTAGTGGTTCTAAGTATGTAATCATTGATATTGATAATACATTGAATGTTTTGTCTGTAATGAATTTGTATGAACTACCAAAAGATATACGTGACATTCCAATCTTATGCATGTCTTGTGCTTTAATTCTCGATGATAAAGAAGAAAAGTATAGTTTAAGTATGTTCCAAAAGTTGGCAAACCCCCAAGTTACCTTTATTATGTGTATAATCATAGAGAATGATGGTAAAAATCCTAATTTCGTTAAACTTTATCTTGACAACAAAGATGTTCTTGACTTTATTAAATTACAATAAAAGATATATTCAAATATGTTAAATTAATTTAATCTCATTTTAAAGGACAAAGTTTTTAATTTTTTTTTTTTTTTTTACCATAATTTAATGAAGTTATTGTTATTTTTTATTTATCTAATTATTTTATATTATATTTTTTCATATTATAAAATTTGAATTGTTATACTTACTTTAATTTATAAATGAAATATATGAAATTTATTTGCATTTTTAGTTCTTATGGCATGAGTTTTAATAAGCACAAATTTTAATTGTTAACTTGTTGTTGCTTGATGATTTTTATAGATATTATACCCGAGTCTGGCACTTTGGCCACTGAAAGTTATATTTCTTTTGATAAACTCATGTGAGTTGAGTATTAAAGGTTATAAGTTTATAAAATTATGCGAGTATGAAATATTGAAATTGACATTAAAATGTCTACAAGATTTTGTATGAACTATTTCATGTGTAAGAATTTAATAAACTACATTATTTAGCTTATAGATCCACTAAAAAATGCGAGCAACAATTTTTGAAATGTTAATGCGTAGGATATCACATAATTTTGGTCAATATATTCTAAAAAAATTCCCTCTCCAACACGTACAAAATCTTTCAACAATATTTGTAATAAAAATAAAGTATTTTTTAGTTTTTACAATTTTAAATTTGTAAATAATTGTTATAAATATCGATTGAATGAGTATAAAAAGTGACAAAAGGTTTATTGGGCCTGTCCGGGATTTGAACCCGGGACCTCCTGCACCCAAAGCAGGAATCATACCCCTAGACCAACAGGCCACACTGAGGATAATTTCAAAAATTCAAATATTTAAAATTAAGGCTAATTTGAGAACATAAATTGTATTGGTACCTATCTATAGTATAATAAATTTTGAGTGCTTATTTTTACTTCGCCGAAACTTCAAAATATTAACTTAAAATTGCATGTGTAATTGCTTAATACTTGTGTACGATGTATCTTTATAAGATAATAATATTTTGTACTAATACATATTAATAATATACACATTTGGTAAAGGTTAAAACTGACTTTGTTTACTTTATAATATGTCGTACCTAATAAAAAAAAAAACTTTATGAGAAGAAGAGGTAGTAATTTGCCTTCTATGATTAATTTTTAAGATCAATCCAACAGGCGAATTAGTTATGAAAAACAATTGGCATTTTTAATTATAAGGAATAGGAAATATTCAATTGTGTTTGTAGATCGAGAAAATGTCACAACTCATTATGAGCATTTATTAAATCTAAAATTTCAAAATATTTATATTTATACGAACGTGAGTATATATGTTGCATGTATGTAATAGATGCATGTAACACTACTATAAAAGAAGATATGTTGGTCATTTAAAGAAATCTTTATTATATTGTTTTAAATTTGAAGTGTGACTTATCACTGTTTCTCCTTATCTATTAAACCGAAAAACGCGGACATATTATGTATTTCTATTTAATATTATATATATATATGTATATTATGGTACCTATACCTAATTACTTTGTCGTTAACAAAAATGCGTGCGGGCTTGTACAATAATAAATCTTAATCCTATTTAATTTTTTTAGTTGTAAAATTTATAGTTTCAATGCTACTAATCTTGTAGGTACCTACCTAAATATATTAATTTATTTAGTGAAAAAAAAATATAGATTACAACTTAATAATTAATTTGTTATTTCTAAAGAACATCTATTATTTTTCTTTTTTAAATTGTACTACCTATATTTTCATGTACTTTATAGTGTTTGGTATTGAAGGTTAATTTGTTCAATTCTTATTTAGGAAAAACAAAAATAATCTATTGAATCGATTTAAAACATTAATTTAATGTGAACGGAATCTGGGCTTTAAAACAGCTTAAAAAAAAAATTAATTGTTTTTTTAAAGTTATCTTGCATACAATGGATTATCGTTTATAACGTAGATTGGCTTTTTCAAAAATTGGTAACCAGTTATGGAAAATTCTAATTTTTAATATACTACAGTGGATTATTTCGTCTAGGCTCTAGTCCTTATGCTTATTATCAAAGTTGGGGGATTTTATAACACAAAAATTGTATAAATATGCTCTATAAATTTATTTACAATTTATAATACATTAAAAATATGCAAAATTATATTTCTAATTTTAATTTTATGAATTACTACGAAACAAATTTTAAACTTCGATTCTATTTCTTAAGCATTTTGTAAGAAGTATACGAATATTATACAAAGTAGGTACTAACCTTGTTCATGACAATAATTGAATAGGTATAATACATAATATAAATATATTTATAAAATTGTTTTGCACATTTATTTTGTATATTACAAAAGAATTAAAAACAGAAGTTCAATAAAATAATTTATTAAGGTTTATGACTTTCAGCTTAAATACTCATTTCATTATTTTTTTCACCTTAGCTACAAATATAAACTATAAATACAGTTTAAAAAACAAACTGAAAAGAATTAATATTTATGATTGTCATTTGTCTCTTATTATTATGGTAAGTATCTTCTAAAATTCTTGAAAATAAATTATGTTTATCTATGATATTTACATTAGATAACCTATGCTCAACAACTTATTTAGAAAAATAATTAAAATATTCAATAGGTAATAAAAACTAAAGATTTTTGTCGGAAATAAGTTTAAATTATTTAACCGGTTTTAAACACTGGATAAATCCTAGATAATTGTATTTAAAATTACACTACCTTCGTATGTCTTGTGTTTGTCTAACTAACACACAACAAGACAAATTTGCGTTCACTAGAACCAATAGTGTGTTGTTGAATTTAATATTAGAACATAATATATATTAACCTGTTATCAAAGTTATAAGTAAGAATATTATTTGTGCCCGCGACGTTTTCTGATATTTTAATTTTTAAGTTAGAAATGTCAAATGAGTATTAAATTGTGATAGATACCTATTTAAAATACTCGCATCTTGCTTTAAAATTAAAATACCAAAAAAACCTACCCAGAAGCGCAAATAATGTCATTTACTTAGATCATAGGTTAATTTTATTATTAGGTACTTAAATATTGAAGCTAACAACACACTATTATTGGTTCTTCTGAACGTAAATTGTCCATGTTATGCTGTACTGCCAGTACTTGTGTGGTGTTAGTAAGGCTGAGACTAGATATATATGTGAGGGTAGCGTACCCTTAATAATCGGTAAGTGTAGGTTGGTTGTAGAATGTAGACAAATTATTTTATTTGTCTAGTTAGAGAACAAGACGCGAAACTGATCTGGATGAATCGATGGTATAGTGTTGAGTGAGAGGGATGCGAAGTATCTCGCTGGATTGAGTATAATAAGTAAGTTATTTTTAACATAATAAATAACTCATTGCATACATATTAATGTCCTTATCAGTGAAAAAAATAAGACGAAAATGTATTGAAGTGACATCGAATTTTTCAATGAAAATAGGTATTCGATTTTTTTTTAATGCTTATATCGACTTCCGAAATTCACGATTGTATTCTATAATACGTAATATATGCTTATAGCCCGTAAATTATTTTTTTAATAGTTTTTTTTCTGACAACTAATGTATAACAATATTTTTAGCTTATTTTTGAGCATATTTTGACATTTTTGCAGTACTTATAGATTAGCATATTTTATAATTTTAAAACATATAAATTTAAACCAATTTAATCCTGCTATTAACAATTCCTATACATCGCTACTAAGTTCTTAATAGATGTTTTTAACTATCAATACTTATTTAAAAAATTAATAAAACGATTATTTTTTAAATTCCGTTTTATTCATGCGGTCTGTTACTGTTAAAAAATACACGCGTGTAGGTACAACAATATTACGATAGCACTTTTTATATATCCAATACAACTATACAAGATGTGATACATTGGAGGGTATATTTACGTTCAGTTTAATACTTGGTTTCAACGTGGACTATACCTAATGGCTAATTGAAAAGTTTTTCAAACTAAGGTAATAGGTACCTATCTAATTAAAATTATTAATTTTTGTTTGCTATAATTAATAGTATTAATATATGAATAAAGTATAGGTTATAACTTATAACCTATTACATTAGATAAATTATCTAAATTCTAAAGTGTGTAAATACACAATATAAATATAAGACATATATTTATTTTATTTTATTTTACGAAATAAAAACTATAATTAAAAATCTAATTAGTGTGTTTGATTTTTGATTAAGCACAATGATACAATGTGATTTACTCTACGGTTATAAACTTATCGGTATTCTTATCGCACCATCAGTTTAATAATACAATATTACAATATTATTATGTACTGTTGTCTATTAGTATATTAATATATTAATTTATTTTATTAAAATGATATTAATTAATTAATATAAAAATAGATATATTATGGTCAATATACCTATGCATAAATACTATTTATTTATTTATTTTTTTTTTTTGGCAGTTTTTTGGGTAAAAACATAAATTATAATAGTACTCGCTACTATAGCTAGAGTAAATTTCATCTCAAAATATCAAAAACTACGAAAATGAGTATCTATCTCGTTACGTTTGTCCCAGGTAATAATCTTTTTTAAAAATTGATGATCTTGAAATGTGATTTCTTATTTATTATAAATTATAATATATAAAAAGTGTTTTATATTATTTACATTCGGTATAAACACTATAAATATGAAACAATTATTACACCTAAACAATTTTGTCGACATAAACTGCAGTACCTAGGTAGTAGCCAGTAGGTATATAAGTACATTAGTACCTACTACATATCTACTGTATTTCAATCAAAATTATCTTAAAAACCTTTTGTTGGACTTACTTCATGATCTACCTATAGCTAGTTATATTAATATTCAATATTAACTAATATTTTACCGAGTCCAGTCTTATGGCCTTTATGGTACTACAATAAAGTATAATTAAACTATTTAACGATAATAATACAGTGAAATTAGATATAAGTTTAAAGATATAGCATTATGAACTCCATGGTATAATAGAGTTAACATATCTAATATCCCTAAGTATCTATATAAATTA